AGACAGTAGTCCTGAGTTTGAAGAGATTCTTTTATCCTATCAGACCCTGAACAATGTTCTGAAAACTAGCAAGCCCTCTTTTTAAGGCCCAGACAGTTAAGCAGAGGGAAAGATAGAGAGTGAAGTAAAGTTAGCTGAGCAGAACACAGTGGAAGGCCTGGGAAATCAGGCCTGGGAAATCAATTTTTAGTTCTACATTGTGAATGGTTGAGGTATTTATTTGCTCTCCGGTTTTTTCCCACCATAAAATACACATCTTCTTCTGAAAATTCACCTTACTGCTCACATTTAACAGAGATTTTTTTAATGTAAGATTTGGTTGGCTGGTCAGTTGCAGTGCTGGGGATGAAACTCAGGGCATCACACATATTAGGTAAATGCTCTACTACTGAGCCCCATCTCCAACCCTAAGTTTTGAAAGTAGTATTGACTTTGCATTCCTTCAATAGCATGCCTAAGCCTAGCACTGGTAGCTCACACCTATAATCCTAGCTACTCTGAGACTCAGATATGAGGATCAGTTTGAAGCCAGCCCAGGCAGAAAAGTCTTATCTTCAATCAATCAGTAAAAAGATGGAAGTTGAGGTGTGGCTCAAGTGGCAGAAAACTTGAGGGTCTGAGTTCAAGCCCCAGTCAAACAAAACAACACACACACACACACACACACACACACACACACACACACACATACACACACACAAAATGCGTGGAGGCTACCCTGTTGCTGAGCTAGTGATGTGATAGAACAAAAGGACAAGTCATGCTTTCATGGAACTACATCTTGAAAGCAAGTTATTTTCCTCAAGTAAACAACATTACATACCAAGTCTGGTATCACACACATTAAAAAAAAATAGTGTTGGGGGCAAGAGGTAAGAGACTACACTGGTGAGAAAAGTCAGGGAGAGGCTCACTCACTGAGAAAGTGACATTTATGTTCAGAGGAGAGATAATTGTGTCAATAAAGGGGAAAGATGTTAAAAGCAAAAAGAATGGTCCAGTGGTAGAAAAGTTTCATATTGAGAATTTGAAAGACAGTGTGTCACTGGGGAGTGAGCATAGCCCGAGTCTATTTTTTTGTATGTCTGTGTGCTGGTACCAGAGCTTGAACTCAAGGCCTGGTGTTCTTGCTCAGCTTTCTTTTTGCTAGTTAACTGTAGATCATAGTCTCACTGACTTTTCTGCCTGAGCTGGTTTTGAACTGCTGTACTAGCCTCCAGAATACTTAGCACTACAGGTGTGAACTACTAGCACCTGGCTTTTCAGTATATTTTGGAGTGTTTAATATAGGCTACACAACATGTGACGCAAGCTCTTACATAATCACTACTAGAAGCCGGCTGCCAGTGGCTCACACCTGTAATCCTAGCTACTCAGGAGGCTGAGATCTGAGGATCACAGTTCAAAGCCAGCCTGGGCAGGAAAGTCTGTGAGACTCTTAGTTCTAATTAACCACCAGAAAACTGGAAGTGATGCTGTGGTTCAAGTGGCAGAGTGCTGGTCTTGAGCTAAAGAGTTGAGGGACAGTGCCCAGGCCCAGAGTCCAAGCCCCACAACCAAAAAACAAAACAAAAACAAAAACATAATCACTACTAGAAACTTCCCAAGTTAGATAGCCATCATTTTCAAAGAGAAATAATAAGCAGAAGAGAGCTGAAGAAATTTGTTGAAAGGGACTGGGAAGGTGGCTCAGTGGTAGAGCACTTGCCTTGCATGCATGAGGCCCTGGGTTCGATTCCTCAGCACCACATAAGCAAAAAGAAAAAAGCCGGAAGTGGCGCTGTGGCTCAAGTGGTAGAGCGCTAGCCTTGAGCTGAAGAGCTCAAGCGCCCAGGCCCAGAGATCAGGCCCCACGACCGGACCCCAAAAAAAAAAAAAAAAAAAAAAAAAGAAATTTGTTGAAAACCACATCAGCAAGTTGTTGAACTTGGGGATCAAGTCAATGGAGCATGAATCCAGAGCACATGCTTCTTTGTTTAACTATTTTGGGGGTGCACTACTGGATTTTGAACTGAGAACCTCACTCTGCTTGTTTGGCTGGTGCTATCACTTCAGTCACACCCCCAGCCCTGCTTTTGGATGGTTACTTTGGTGACAAAGTCTCCCAGACTGTTCTGTTCTACCTGTTCTGGCTTTAAACACCACTCCTTCACAAGCTCAGTCTTCTGAGTAGCTAGGATTGCAAGTGTGACCCACTAGTACCGGACTCCACACTCACATTTTAAATTCAGCCTTACAGGTAAAGTCAAAGGAAAGCCTCAAGAGACTTCACTTGGCCGGGCCAAAAGATTAGATGTAATTTTTTTAATGAAATGGAAAGTTATTGAAAGGTTTAAATAAAAGACTGAAGACTATGTGATTGCCTTTTTTTTCTGTCTGCTGTGTGAGGGACAAAGATGGGGCAGGGAGGCGGGGGAGGTAGGGGGACATCTTATAGGGTCCTAGATTACAAGAAGCCAGAGTCAAGATATAACTTGGTGTCAGAATGAATTAGACTGGCTGATGATTTGGATAAAATAAATAAGGGGGGGAAAAGGAATATCTAAGATAATCCCTAGGTTACTAGCTTTGGTAACCAGTGATAGATACTATCATGATAGATATTTAAATGGTTTAAAATTGGCTAGACTAAGTGTGCAAAGGAGGAACAGATTCATTCAATTATTCCTTCTATTATATGAGGATGTAACAGTGTAGAAAACAGTTAAGAAGGTCTTGCCCTCATAAAACTTCTACTTCTGGAGTGGGAGGATAAATAGTTGATAAATAAATCTATAAAGCATCAGATGGTGATAAATGCTATTTAAGTAGGAAAGAGGTTACAGGTTTAACTGGGGAGTTTGAAAAACTCTCTTTGGGGCTGGGAAGGTGGCTCAGTGGTAGTGGGCTTCTCTCACATGCATGAGGCCCTGGGTTCGATTCCTTAGCACCACATAAGCAGAAAAAAGCCAGAAGTGGCACTGTGGCTCAAGTGATAGGATGCTAGCCTTGAGCTGAAGAGCTGAGGGGCAGTGCCCAGACCCAGAGTTCAGGCCCCACAACCCACAAAAGAAAAGGAAAAGGAAAAGACTCCAAGCTTGAGCAGAAGCCTAAGGAAACAGAGGAGATTGTTTCTAAGGGGGGGGGGGGGCGGGGGAGGGTTGGGAGAAAAGGGTTTTTTACAATTAGTAAGACTGCAAAGACACTGAGGTGGAAGTGTTCTGGGACTGATAAGACAGCCAAGGTGAATAGCTGAATGAGTAAGGAAAATCTAACAAATCATCAGCTCAGAGGAATAACAGATAATGCATAAGTTTGGCTTTTATACTTTGGGTAGGAGAAAAGTGCTGGAAGATCTCCACAGAAGAACGGAAGTATGGCAGTACTCTAACTGCAATTTGGAAATTTAACAGAGGAGCAAAGGTGGAAGTAGCAACCCCAAACCATGAACTTCTGGTGGGTGGGGCCAGATGATGGTGAAAGGATCCAATTTAGACTAGGTTTTGAAGAGTACATGGGATTTATTGATGAGATTGGACACGGCACAGTGACTTAAAAGGAGTCAAGGAGAACTGAGGGGTTTTTTTGAGTGAACAAGGGAAGGATGGTATTTGTCATTTACTGAGTTGGGATGAACTGTGAAGAACCAATCTAAGAAAAAATTATGTGTTGTTAGTCTTGTTGAAATGGAGATACCAATTACAAATTCAAGGATAGATACTGAACAGTCAGTCGTCTTTGGAGTTCAGAGAGATAAGGGTTGGATATACAAATCTGAAATTCTTTTATATGATACTTAAATTATTGGAATAAATCTAGGAGAAAATGTAAAGGATCCAGAATTGAATCCTTGATAAACTCCCTCAAACATTTCCATCTCTTATCCAATGTTGTTTAAAACTGGCTTAATTTTTTTGTTGCTGTTGTTGGTTGTGGGTCTTGAACCTGGGACTTAGGGCCAGTCCCTGAACTATTTTGCTCAAGGCTAGTGCTCTACTGTACTGAGCCACAGCAGCACTTCTGGGTTTTGGGTGGTTACTTAGAAAAAAAGAGTCAAGGACTTTTCTGCCTCTGGGTGATCCTTAGATCTCGGGCTTCTAAGTAGCCAGGATTACAGGTGTGAGCCACTGGCACCCAGTTATACAGATCTCCTCAAAAGAACTCCATCTATGATCACAAGAATAACAGGAACTCAAAACATTTCCAAATCTGTAAGTTTATAGTCTGAGAGTTAAATGCATGTGTATATGTATCTTGGCTGCATGAATTTTAATTCTGAGTTCTATGTTCATCTGTGTTAGGTACTTACTGTGCAATTTCCTAAAAGTAAACTTGGAATAATAGCACACTGGATTGTTGTAAAATAATACCTGAACTTTTCTGATAAAGAAAAAATTAGCTACTTTACTATCAGTGAAACAAAAATTCCAAGTGGAATACTCTGAATGCCTAACTGCAATTCTCTTAACAGGTTGCAGACTCAATCTGAATTTCAAAACAAAGCCAAAACACATCCTCGAATCCCTAAGGACTCCGAAATAATCTTCGGAGGTAGGGAAGGAACAGAAATGAGCAATCAAGACAGCCTCGTTCACGAGGCCCATCTGTGACAGACTGCCAGGGCCCCAATTCCTCGTAACTAGTTATTTGAGGGTCTCCTGGCCCCTTTCTGGAGAGTATGAATGTACTTTCGAAGGCAGAGAAAGGTTAAACTGAGCTTCTGAGCCGGAGTACAGCAAAGAACTAGCATTCCAACTCTTACAGCAGCAACAGGGGAGGCTCCCTAGAAAGTCACTATCCCTCGTACCCAGGGTCACAGCAGAGGGGTCAAACTCCCACCCGGCGGGCCCTGGGAGGAACAGCGACCTTCCCTCGGCTGGCCCGCCGTTCCCTGCCCGCCGGACCCTGCCCTCGCAGGCAGCAGGGCGCCGGCGCGGAGCGGCTCGGACCCCCGCGCCCGTCCGCAGCCGCCTGGCCCGAGGATACAGGAAAGAAACAATGGGCCCCGGCGGCCGCCGTACCTCTCCTGGTCGCGGCCGTCGAAGTAAACGAAATCGCCGTTCTGGACACACTTGGCGCAGGTCAGCCGCCGGCGGGTGGTGTTGCAGAGCGGACACCGCTCGACGGCCACGTAGAGCCCCTCCGCGTCGTCCACCGAGTCCACCAGGTCGCGGGAGAGGGACCGGGGCCCGAAGCCAGGGGCCTCTGGCGCCTGGGCTCCCTTCCCACTGGGAGACGCCATGATGGCTGGAGAGCGGAGCCAGTCACGTGGGATTTTGTTTTCAACCAGGTGCATCCTGGGTGCGGGGGGGGGGCGGAGGGGGCGTGGAGAAACCTGAGGGCGAGGCCCGGGGAGGAGAGGGGCGGGTTTGAAGCGGTTCGGGGGCGGAGCCCTGAGGTGGTGATGGGCGGGGCCTATCGCGTGGGCGTGGCCTCTGGAGGCGCGAGGGCGGGGTCCGGGAGGAGCCTGGTGTGGCTCTTGGCATCACAGCGGGGGAAATCCTAGGTCCCGGGAGCTCGCCAAACCGAATATCCCCTGCCAGATCAGGCCGCGGCTTCCTGGTCCACGCCTGCAGGCCAAAAATAGTAATACGATGCCCTCAGGCTTCTAAAGGAAAAATAAATGGGTACAGACTAAGAATTTATTTTCTCACGCTAAGATGCTTTTAGGTTTGGCTCTAGCTAGGAGACACCGTTGGATGGGAAGCTGGGTCCTGGAAGTCAGCTGCAGTTTGGCTTCCAGCTGTGTGGTTTGGATCAAATTAACCTTCTCTATGCCGTTTTTCTTGATTAGGAATATAATGTGCTCTACCAACCTAATCATCAAGAAATTTAAATAGATTTAATAGTAATCTAAGCCACGCGCTGGAGGCTCAGGCCTGTAATCCTACTCAGGAGGTTGAGATCTGAGGATCATCGCTGTTCAAAGCCAGCCCGGGTAGGAAAACGTCCAGGAAACTCTTATCTCCAATTAACCACTAGAAAACAGGAAGTGGCACTGTGGCTCAGAGTGCTAACCTTGAGCAAAAAGAGCTCAGGGACAGTTCCTACCGACAAAAATAAACAAATGTAATCCAATAGCAATCCTAATTCTAATAGGTTTAATAGGAATCTAATTTCTTACCTGTAACTCAATGAGAGCCCAAACTAACCAGCAAATCAAAGTTATGATTTCCAAAAACTGATGTTTATTTTGGTTTTCTTTGGACAGGGTCTTCCTAAATATAGTCCTTGAGTTTGGCATTCTCCTACCTCTGCCTCCCAAGTGCTGAGATTACAGGTATGTAACCACCGTGGCCAGCTCTCAAAACTCAATAATCTGTCACTTCCTTGCCCTGGGCTACACTTTAAGAATATTTGAACTAAGTACATGATTAGGATTTCCCTTAAAGTGTCTGGACAGACAAAGGGGTGGGTGAGAAAAATTCTATCACAGTAATTAGTTTTGCATATACCTGTAAAGGAGGGGAAAAGAGAAATGGGTTTGTAGGTCAGTGATTCTCAAGCATTACTTCAGTAGGCCAGATGCTAGATGAATGTGCTCTTTTTTTTCTAGCTGGGATTTCTCACACAGCTGTCTCAGGTGCTAAGCGGTGTTCACTGCCACACACTATAAAAATCTATCTACTTTGGTGAAGGACATAATCAGGGATTTTGAGAGTTTGAGTTTGGTGATGGTGGTACTAGGGTTTGAACTCGGGGCCTTGAGCTTGCTAGTCAGGAGCTCTGTACTTGAACCACACCTCCAAGCCTCTTTGCTTTAGTCCTTTTTCCAGATAGGTCTGGAGATCCTCCTACCAACATCTCCTTCATAGATTGATTTGTAGGTGTGTGCCAGCATGTCTCCTTGTTTATTAGAATGGGGTCTTGATAACTTTTTGCCTTGGCTGGCCTCAGGTGTAATCACCCATTTTCAGCCTCCAGAGTAACTAGGATTACAGGCATGTGACATGTTGTCTGGGCTCAAAAGGATTGGTTTGTTTGTTCAAAAGGTTTCAGATACTGCATTTGTATTCCCACCAGGATCCTTCACAGTGCCTGATAATTAATGATTAGGATTATCCACCCAATAGATTATATTTTTTACATATATATTTGCCAGTATTTGGGTTCAGGGTCTCTTGTTGCTCAGTTGGTGTTACCACTCAAGCTATGCCTCCAGCCCTTTTTTTTTTTTTTTGCTGATTATTTTAGAGATGTAGTCTCAAACTTTTCTGCCTGGACTGGCCTTGAATTGCAATCTTCAGGATCTCAGTCTCCTGAATAGTTAGGATTATAAGCATTAGCCACTGAAACCCAGTTCTTCAGAATTTTAAAAAGGTAAGAGACACACACACTTCTATCTTACTAGCCTACCAACACTGTTCAGCTTATACAGTTACTTGACATTTTGATATGCGATCAACCTTTGGTTTTTGTGGATATATGGTTCCAAGGAAACTGCCATGGGAGATGTTCAGATGCATAGAGTTCAGTGCTTGATTCATCTTCCCCCCATACCACCATCAACTTCCACTAACGAAATGCTGCCTTTCAACAAATGTAAGATTTTTCACTTCATTGCTTTAGTGCATTCACTTTTGCCTTGCTTTCTTTGGGCTCTCCTTCTTTGGGGGAAGACAGATTTTTCATAAAGTTAATGGCAGAGAACCACTCAACAGGTTAATACAATGATTTGAGCACAAGTGTTAACACAGGACAGATGAGACCTTCTCCACATTAACTGAGCCATGTAATACATGTGTGTGAATTAAAATTCTTTGTTTTTGAAACAAGACACTGTTAGTACATGCTTGCAATCCTAGCTTCTTAGAAAGTTGTGATCTAGAGGGTCACAGTTCAAAACTATCCTGGGTAGAAAAGTCTGCTAGATACCATCTCCAAAGGAACGAGCAAAAATCCATGTTAGAGTCTGGTGCTCAAGTGATAGAATATCTGCTGAGCAAGCAAGCCAAGTGAACACACACAAGGCCCTGGTATCAGCAAAAAACTTTTTAAAAGTTTTTTTAAATTTATTTTTCTTAAACTGAAATTAGTCTAAACCTTCTGTAGTAAATGGGTAAATAAGGCAAGCTTCCTGTACTGCTGGGCATTTTCAGAGAACATGTTGATGTATTACATTAGAACAAGAATCCAGCACTGATGCCAAACTATTGTTCTAATGAGGCCTAAAATCTTTCAAATTCTGAAATAAGTTTACTTGTTTCATTCTTTAAAATAACATACAAGAGTCACTTGGAATAAGGAATTTTCATTTCTTAGGCAAGCTGACTCAAACAGAAGTATCTTATAGTAATTAGGTCAAAATATACTAGGCTGTCTACAGTGAAATGTAGCGGAGTCCAGTATAATATGAACTATTGAATGATATTCTCAGGCCTTTTATTTTTTATTTTTATTTTTTTCTGGTTATGGGGCTTGGGCACTGTTCATGAGCTCTTTTGCTCAAGGCTAGCACTCTACCACTTTTAACCACAGCTCCCCTTCCTGTTTTCTGGTGGCTAATTGGAGATAAGAGTCGCATAGACTTTCCTTCTCCTGGCTGGCTTTGAACCGAGATCCTCAGATCTCAGCCATCAGCACCTGGCTTGCTCAGGCCTTTTAGAATAGGGTAGATGTTTTCAAATGCTTCATAGATCTCAGAACGCTCTTTGGCACCTATAAATAAATACAAGTTTATATCATTTTAATATAAAAACAATACAAAATTTTCTTATCACTAAGATTTCATGTCACTAAAAGAATTTGGCAGGGGTGGGGGGCTCTATACTGGAGTTTGAACTTAGGGGCTTGTACTTGCTGGGCAGGCATTCTTCATTTGTGCCATGCCCTCAGCCCCAAACTTGTTATTTTTCAGTAAGTTCTTACACTTTTCAGGCTGGCCTCAGACCATGATCCTCCTACGTTTCCCACATAGCAGGGATTACACAACTTGTGGCTTGAGATGAGATCTTCACATTTTTTTTTACCCAGTCTGGCCTCAAACTCTGATCCTCCTAATCTCTCTGCCCCCCAAACAGCGGACTTACAACATGAGGTGCCACACTTGGCTTTTGTATGTGTGTATGAGACAGGTGAGACCTGGAACTCTCAGTCCTTCTGCCTTAGCCTCCGTAGCACTGGGATTATAGGCATGCACCATCATACCTAGCTTTCCAGTGTGTTTTAATAGGATGATATCCCTAGTTGTATCTGAGAAGTGGCAGTTGTTCCCAATAAAGACTAGTGACTTTAGCCATGTTACCCTCCCCCCACACACACACCCTTGAGCAGGAGCTTTTAGAACTTCCACTGTGTTAGCTTTAGCCACATAGAGCTCAGTAGAACTACAGAATGTGTCATAAACATGACCCCAAGTGACCCTGATCAACACCTGTGGCCACTGAGCTACCCACAGAATGCACTTCCTTTGATGTGAACTGGGTTCACCACTAGTTAACATCTCATTTCCTTAACACTGACACATTTCTACAAAAGCACAGCTATTCTAGAGGGGTTTTTTTTAAATGGTAACATGTGGGAAAGGATTTGAGAAGGAAACTATGTCATTGTCATCCTTAAAGTCTTAGGTTTTGAGGAATCTTTAATTAGGACATAATTGCATAGAGCTTACACGGGGGTAAAACATGAATTAAGACAGCCCCTATTCTTGAGAACTATCAGTCAGTCTTTCTTCACTTCCAAAGTGCAGAGGGCTTCTGAGAGCCAGGAAACTATTCACTGACATTTGTGTGGGTAAGAAGCAGCAAAGAAGGAAGGAGGTTAGTGAGAATACAAAACCTTACCTTTTTAGACAAAGAGAAATGGGAAACAGCTGAATTCATAAGTTCTCCCTTTAGAGCTACAGAGTTGGACAAGAAAGCTTCATAAAAATTGCAGGAAATCTGCAAAGTGGTCATCTGCTCTAACTCCAGCACTCATGAACGGGGAGCTACCAAAAGAAGGAGCCATAGAGTTGTGAAACAGCTAGGAATGGGGATTCAGAGTCAAGTATCAGCTGTAATCAATTTTTCTTATAGGAAAATAACTGGTAGCAAGAATGTGGAGATGTAGAAATGTAAAACGGTTTTGCTCCTGTGGAAAAGAGTTGGGTGGATCCTCAAAAAAAGTTAACGAATTACTACATGACCCAGCAATTCTGCTAGGTAAACACTTCTTAAAACTAAAAACAGGAACTCAAATAGTACAGACTTACACTACAACATTAGTCACAACAAGCTAAGTTTGGAAACAATCTACATGTCCACCAATGCACAAAGACAGAAAAATTTGTAGCAGCTATAGAATAGAACTTAACTTTGGTAATAATATTTGTAGTAGCTATAGCAATAGAATATTACTCAGCCATTAAAAAGAGTGATAATACAGATGCATGCTACCATGTGGATGAATCTGAAAAACACAGTCAGTGAAACAAGTCAAACACAAAAAGTCCTATGTATTCCATTTCTATGAACTGCTCCTAAATAAGCAAATCTAACTGAAACGTAGTTACAAGGAGCTGGGGGGTGGAGAGCAGAGATAGGAAGATGGTTAATGATACATTAATGATACATCTTTATTTTGGGGCTAAGAAAATATTTTACAACTAGGCAGGAATAGAAGTACATCCACATAACACTATGAATGACCTGTTCCTTATAAAATGGTTAAATTTATGTTCTGAATTTAAGTTAAAGAATCCAAGAGTAAGTACTTACTTATAAGGTTTGTTTGCTTTGAGAGGTAATGAAAGTACAGCTGTGGTCCTCCAGCCTGAAAGATGAGGGCTGGGGGTGGGGAAATACTGACAGGTGAGAGAAAGTCTATACCTGTGGATGGGTAGGAAAAGGCCCTCAAGTCTCAGCAGATTTTGGTTTCAGCACTAAAGTTTTTGTTTCTGCAGAAACTGATTTTGAGCTGGGTGCCAGTGGCACATACCTGTAATCCTAACTACTCAGGAAGCTGAGATCTGAGGATCATGGTTCAAATCCAGCTTGGCTGGGAAAGTCAATAAGACTCTAGTCTCCAACTAACTACCAAAAAAAACCAGAAATGGAGCTGTGGCTCAAGTGGTACAGTGCTAGCCTTGAGCTAAGGACAGTACCCAGGCCTGGAGTTCAAGCTCTGGTGCCAGCATGCATGTGTGTGCACACACCCACACACACTAAGAGAATCTCAATTAGGCTATAGCCTCACTTATTAATACTCAGTTAAGTCCTGTTGTGGTGCCAGACTCCCGTTAGATGACTGGTGCTTCTTAAGCAAAGCTTGCCATTATTTCTCTGCAGGTTGGAATGATGGCCACTTTGGGGAATAAACATAGTTCCTAACCTTGGTGAGTGAGGTGGAAATGCGGTAGCCCAATGCACTGGAGGAAGGACTGGCTGTGAAATCAAATGCTGCCATGCCAGCTCTACCACAAAACAGCTCTGAAACAATAGACATATTACCCAACCTTTGAGTTTCAGTTTCCTTATCCATAAAATAAGGACAAAATAAGGCTGGTGCCACACCTCTGCTTTCAGTTTTTTGGTGGTTAATTGGAGATAAGAGTCTCACAGATTCTCCTGCCCTAGCTGTCTTCCAACCGCCAGCCTCAGATCTCAGCCTCTTGGGTAGCTAGAGTTACAGGCTTGAGCCACTGCAGCCCAGCTAGAGAGCTTTGTTATTTTATTTCAGGTAAGGAAGAAAGCTGATCTCAATTAAGGATACTTAAACCTACGACACAAACATGGACTGAACTTGGCCATGTGCACTTTAAAAAATAAGACTGATTTGTAACAATACACAGCATTTATGTCAAAGTGTCCTTCCAGAGAACTTGAAAAGATTGTTCCCTTAAGTAGGGTAATATCTATCTCTAGTACTATAATATTCAATTAGCCCTGCGGGCTTTATCCCCTTCCCCTAGAACATGTAAAAATAAACCACTTCAGTCACTCAGGGGTCTTAATTACTCTAGACTCTATGTTGGGGGCATATGAGGAAATTAGTTTTGCTCTGTTGAAAATATCCTTGGATTCCAGACAGGCTTTTTTGCATTTTGAAGACATATCAGTTATTTCTTAGAGAAAAGAAGCAAATTACCTTACTGAAAGTTATAAAATCATTTTGCATATTCTACTCTGCTAGGTACTGAGTTGATGACTATCCATTTTTCTCAAATTACTTCAGGTAGTTAGAAAAATCTATTTTTAGATGAGATGAAATTGTGAGAAATTGTAAAGGTTCTTTGGAAGAAACAGCATTCAAGCCAGGTACTGGTGGCTCACACCTATGATCCTAGATACTCAGGGAGCTGATATCAGAGGATCATGGTTTGAAGCCAGCCCACATAGGAAAGTTCTAGAAACTCCCCCACCCTTTTTTTTCTGCCAGTCCTGGGGCTTGAACTTAGGGCCTAGGCTCTGTCCCTAAGCTTCTTTGCTCAAGGCAAGCACTCTACCACTTGAGCCACAGAGCTACTTCCAGGTTTTTCTGTTTATGTGGTACTAAGGAATTGAACCCAGGTCTGTAGTGTGCTAGGCAAGCACTCTACCATTAAGCCACATTCCCAGGCCCCCTTGAAATGCCTGTCTCCCATAAACCAGCAAAATGTCAGACTGGTGTGACTCAGTAGTAGAGTGCCAACCATATGTAAGAAAGCCAAGCAAATGGGGCTGGGAAGGTGGCTCAGTGGTAGAGCGCTTGCCTTGCATGCCTGAGACCCTGGGTTCGATTCCTCAGCACCACATAAGCAAAAAGAAAAAAGCCAGAAGTGGCACTGTGGCTCAAGTGGTAGAGCACTAGCCTTGAGCTGAAGAGCTGAGGGACAGCGCTCAGGCCCAGAGTTCAGGCCCCACAACCGGACTCAAAAAAAAAAAAGAAAGAAAGCCAAGCAAGAGCTCAAGGCACTGAGTTCAAGCCTTGGTACAGACACAAAGAAAAGAAAGAAAATTAAAAAAAAAGTCAAGAAGAGCCAGGAAGTTAAAAGTGAAGCAATGATGGGAAAATGGCCTTCTTATTATACAGGGAAAAATCACACTAGGCTTATAATAGTATGGTCCCAGCAGAACTGGAAATCAGGCCCACATATAAAAACGTAGGTCAAAAGGCAGCATCATAAGCCAAGTGCCCAGTGGCTTGTACTCGTAGCCACTCAGGAGGCTGAGATCTGAGGAACATGGTTCAAAGCCAGCCTGGGCAGAAAAGTTTCTGTGAGACTCCAACCACTCAAAAACCAGAAGTGGCACTGTGGCTCAAGTGGTAGATTGCTAGCTTTGAGCACAAAGAAGCTCAGAGACAGCACCCAGGCCCTGAGTTCAAGCCCCACAACTGACCAAAAAAAAAAAGGGCAGCATCATGAATTAATAAGAAGGGAAGAATAATAGTGTCAAGTTGGCTGGCTACTCGGAGGATGAGAGATCAAGTTGGCTCAGGCCATATAAATTTAGCCCTTATTTTGGTAGAAAAGAGTAAAATAGCAAATAGTTAATAAAATGACATAGAAAAGTCTCAATCATTTCCCTTCAAGGTTAAAAAAAACTTTTATAAACATAGTAAAAAGTAAGCCATCCGGAAAAAGTCACAAATATAGAAAAGAATAATTATGATTATGGTACTTCCATATAAATCTCTATGGAAAAAAGTAATAAAAACTACATAGACAAAAGATAAGTTATGTGCATACTCTTTATAAGAGATAAAATGCTATTTATTGACTATGTTGTAAAGGGATTGATTTATATCTATATCTATATTTATATCTATACCAGTGAGTTTAAATCAGAGAGATCAGTTTCACTTGTCTAAACTTTTCTTTTTGTCAAATTTAATTGCTGCTGAGGGTTGGGTAAGAGGTATTTAGATACACTGATGAAAGGAACATATGATTCTTTTACAGAATTTGGCAATTTATACTAAGAACCTTGAAAACAGTCACAGCCTTAAACAAAAGTTTCATTTCTGAGCATCCACACTCATTCTCCAGAAATAAAAATAGCCAAATGTTTGTGCTATTTTTAAGTAGCAAGCAAAAATGAAAAGTACCTATCTGACAATGGAAGAGTAAGTGTGTCTCGTATTACTGGAACAGGATCAGGAAACATAGGGCCCCTGGCCAAAGCCAGCCTGAAGATTGTTGCTGTGATCCAGTAATGATTTTTATTTATTTTTATTTAATTGTATTGAACTCAGGGCCTGGGTGCTATCCCCTCAAGGCTAGTGCTCTACCACTTGAGCCACAGTGCAACTTCTGGCTTTTTCTGAGTGGTTTATTGGAAATAAGCATTCACATACTTTCTTGCCCAGGCTAGCTTTGAACTGTAATCCTCAGATCTCAACCTTCTCACTAGCTAGGATTACAGGCATACGCCACCAGTGCTCAGCTTGATTTTTATATTTTTAATTGGCTGGTGGGGGGGGGATAGGGTGGGAATTTCAGAGATATTATATGATATACAGTATATAGTCATTCTTCTTTGGAAGGTCTATAGCTGCTTTTATACCACACTGACAAAGTTCAGCGATCTCAACAGAGACCCCAGGGCACACAAAGTCTAAGTCATGGCACTACTTGCCACTTCATGGATAAGTTGTCAGCCCCTCTTAGAACATTGTGTAGCCCTGAAAAACATCTCTGCAGAGTTTGTAACAGAGTTAGGCTATATACATTATAACAGGCCATAAAAGGGCAAGATGTAAAGATGACTCTATACATATATATATATGTATATACATATACACATATACAAAAATATGACATAAAGTGGCATAAAAAATGAAAGTAAATCCCACTGTTTTTGAATTAGGACTTATGGGTAATGTTATATTCATTTCTCCTTTTCACTTTTCCAGTGTTGCATAATAGTAAGAATTATAGCAAACAAAACTATTTAAAAGCAAAAGCAAAGCATGCACATAGCTATTAAATGTCATGAAAATCAGATAACCTTAGAACTTACCTGTCAACACAACTTTTCCAGATACAAAGATAAGCAACACAATTCGTGGCTTTACCATTCTATAAATAAGGCCAGGAAATAGTTCAGGTTCATAACTGTTAAAACACAAAAGGAGAATGTTTTAAATAGCTCTATTCATCTGCTTTCTCAAAACATTCAAGAATGTGTGTGTGCATGTGTGTGTGTGTGTGAGAGAGAGAGAGAGAGAGAGAGAGAGAGAAAGAGAGAGAGAGAGAGAGAGGGAGAGAGAGAGAGAGAGAGAGAGAGAGAGAGAGAGAGAGAGAGAGAATCTGTGTATGTGCACATTCAGGACAATACCCTCCGAATATAGAAATACATAGGTTTGGTTTTATGAAACAGTCTATGTAGCTCAGTCTTGAACTTGCTGTGTAGCCCAAGCTGGCATCATACTTTATCCTTCTGTCTCTGCCTACCATGGACTAGGATTACAGACATGTACCACCATGCCCAATACATCTTGTATATTAAAGTTGTATGTCATAACTATTGCAGATGCTAGGCAAGTACTTTCTTATACCAGCCTACATTCTTAGCCCTAAGCATAGGCACAGACAGCAGCCAAGAACAGAATTAATTTTGTTTTTGTTTTTTTAATTTTTGTTTTCAAGACATCCTAGGTAGAAATTGAGGTAACAGGGTATTAGATTTAATGTATTAGATCTCATTGGTTACATGCCCTCTATCTTTCAGCAAAATAGGTGTGTAATAGCGCATAAACCTTTTTTTTCTTGATTTTCCAAGTTCCAATAGCATGCAAGTACATTTATTTTATTTTATTCTGCCAGTTCTGGTGCTTGAACTCAGGGTCTGGGCACTGTCCCTGAGCTTCTTTTGCTTAAGGCTAGTGCTCTACCACTTGAGCCACAGCTCCACTTCCAGCTTTTTGTGTTTATATGGTACTAAGGAATTGAACCCAAAGGTTACATGCATGCTAGACACCCACTCTACCACTAAACCACATTCCCAGCCCCTCTACATGCATTTTAGCATGATAAAACTTAAGAAAAAGTCGGGTGCCGGTGGCTCACGCCTGTAATCTTAGCTACTCAGGAGGCTGAAATCTGAGGATCTTGGTTCAAAGCTAGCCCTGGCAAGAAAGTCTGTGAAACTCTTATCTCCAATTAATCACCAGAAAACTGGAAGTGGCACTGTGGCTCAAGTGGTAGAGAGCTGGCCTTGAGCAGAAGAGCTCAGGGACAACGCCCAGGCCCAGAGTTCAAGTCCCATGACTGAGAAAAAAAGAAAAGAAAAACAAAACCACCTTTAAAAAAAAAAGGGTTCTGAGATTTTGAAGCATTTGAAATCATCTATCCTATTCTAAAAGGTTTTAAAAAGGTCTGAGCAAGGACTGGGAACGTGGCTTACTGGCAGAGTGCTTGCTTAGCATGCATGATGAAGCCCTGGGTTTAATTCCTCAGTACCACATAAACAGAATAAGCTGGAAGTGGTACTGTGGCTCAAGTGTAGAGTGCTAGCCTTGACCAAAAAAGCTCAGGGACAGCGCCCACGCTCTGAGTTCAAGCTCCAGGACTGAAAAAAAAAAAGTCAGAATGTAAAAGGACAGTTGGTGGAATGATGCAGCTATTCTCAAAATAAGGCTAATGGAGAACGGACTGCACAAGGGGAAGCTCAGATCATGCAGATCATGCAGGGAAGCTACATTCAGGCTTGCAAGGAGTAAGATCCTCACTGCAGCAGATGTCAAACCTCTGGTTCCCAGAAAGTGTATCCTGGTAATGAGAGGCTATGAAGGATATGGAGTGGTGGCCATGCTCCTGTGCTCCTGGAATACCACATTGTCTTTGCCTTCCAGTAGAAAGCTTGCTACTTCAAGATCCAGGGCAGACCCTGGAAAACCTTCACAATGAGGAGAGCTAGGCCAAGAAAATGAAGGCTGTGGACTGAGGGCTCACAGTCTTCAAACTCAGGCAGAGCCCTTCATATATTTAGTAAGAGTTGGTTCTAAAAATGGTGGGCTGGCGGCCCATGACTTCAGAGTCTAGAGGGTTCCAAAGTTTCACACACTCTCAAAAGTGAGGGCTTTCTCTGGGAACTAGTTCCTCACAGGTATATACTTAGTGACTCAGGATGCCGAGATCTGAGGATCTCAGTTTGAAGCCAGCCTAGGCAGGAAAATTGGTGAGACTCTTATCTCCACTAAACTATCAAAAAAAAAAAACAAACCCCAAAAACAAAACTGGAGTGGAACACACACACACACACACACACACACACACACACACACACACACACACACACCCTGTCCCAAAAACAAAACTGGAGTGGAACACACACACACACACACACACACACACACACTCACACCCTGTCCCAAAAACAAAACTGGAGTGGAACACACACACACACACACACACACACACACACACACACACACACACACACACACACACACACACACACACACACACACACACACACACACACACACACACACACACACACACACACACACACACACCCTGTCCCAATGGAACAAAACGGGACAACTAGATAGCTTTGGGCCTGAGTAGGTCATAGCCCCTCTTCTATCATAATTCCAGGCCTTTCTTAGTGCACAGCTGTCAGCCCTGTCCTACTTACTTAGCCCAATCCTACTCCCTATCACTTCTTGCTAAGGCCATTACTAAAGCCAGAGTGTTTATTTTATAAGCCTAGAGATCAGTGGGTTTTGACATGTGGGCCTCAAGCCAACATACTGGCTTTACCTGTGAGCTTTTTAGTTGAGTGATTATGGATGCTCTACCACTTGAACCACATCACCAGCCCGCCTGTGATCTTTGTAGGACTGCAGTGAAGTGGTGACGTAGCCCAGTAAGGAGTGTGTGTTTCCTATATTGGTCACTCGGACAACATAGCAGTTTGAACCCCTGTTTCCAAAGACTGGGACCACACAATAACCTTGGAGGACTCAGGCTCTGTCTCTTAACCCTTTTGCCACTGTGCCTCCATTATCTTTTTTGTAAGTTATCACTTTTCCAAAAGATAACCTGTATAAGCAGCCCGTAGTGTAACTGCAATACCTTAGTAAAAGCAAATTCCACCTAGATAGCTGTCATACCTGCTGAACTGCCGATGGGTTAGAACTAAACCCTCCAGCCTGATGGGAAATCTCACATCACAGCTTCCAACCATGTTCTGAATTTTGAAGTCAAGGAACCTGGCAGGAAACCCAAGCTTCTGCACCACACGAGCGTACTTTCTTGCTGCAAGTCGAGACTGCTCTTCGCTGGGGAGGGGCAAACATAGTTGATTAAAGATGTCCTAATCACTATATTCTTTTCTAGTTTGTGTTGTATTCACATGAGACACATTTGTGGGTATGTGCGCATGTATGTGCATGTGTATTCCAGTAACTGAGTTTGAATTCAGGGCTGAGTCTGCTGGTACTCTACTACCTGAGCCATGTCCCCTGCTTGACTGATTAACTGGAGATAGTCTCATGGACTTTGCTCCCTGGTTGACTTCAAACCATAATGCTCAAGATCTTAGCGTCCTGAATAACTAAGATTATAGGTGCAAACCACTGGTGCCCAGCTACATTGAACATTTTTTTTACTAGTTTTATTATTTGTACCATGTCCATTTTGCAATGTATCTATCTATGAAACCACAGGCTCTGTGAGAAGGACTTAGCTTCCATACCTTTATCCCCAGCATGTTGTCAAAGGTCTAGTATAATGTACAATTGTTAAACTGGTTCTTAAATTACCGTGATTTGTCTTATTTTGTGTGGGCGATACTGAGTTGGAACTCAGGGCTTTCCCTTTCCCAGGAAGATGCTCTACATCCCTGCTTTGTCACCTTTCCCTACTTTTGCTTGTGTTAAAATTTTCTTTGACTAGAATCGTTCTGCTGGTTTTCAAAACATGGCTGTAGGCCTTTAGCAGCACCTGAAAACTACTTAGAAAGGCTAAGACCCAAGTCCCATCTTGGATTTGCTGGTGTGAGGACCAGCAATTCAGGGCCAACAAGCCCTCTAGGCGCTTGAGATGCTCACTCAAGTTTAGAAACACCATCTATCTGGTCTAAAAGTGTGTATGGTATTTACATGGGAATGATAATAAAAAAATAAGGAAAATTTCATACAAAAAAGCGTGAGAATGAAGGATGTACTACTAATCAACTGACATACACATATTTTTATGGGACAAATTATGCATCCTCCCTCCCCCACAAGAAATTCCCAAGTATAGCTGGGTGCTGGTGGCTCACGCCTGTAATCTTAGCTACTCAGGAGTCTGAGATTTGAGGATCACAAATCAAAGCCAGCCTAGGTAGGAAAACCTGAGAGACTCTTATCTCCAAGAAACTACCCCCAAAAAGCTAGAAGTAGAGCTGTGTCTCAAGTAGTAGAACACTTAGCCTTGAACAAAAAAGCTCAGGTATAGCACCCAGGTCCTGAATTCAATCCCCAGGACCAGAAAAAAAAACTCTCTGAAGATAAATATTAAAGTTCTTTAAGATTTGTTAAATTTTGCTCAGGCTGCTATCCAACTCACACTCAGAATAAGAATACACAAACTCTAACTTTGTAGTATGTTCTTCAAATGTTTCTTACCCCAAACCTCAATTCATAGGGGGAAGTCCTGAGATTTGGGGGCTCATTTCTCACTTGATACTTTCCATCTGTTACTGTCAAAACACAACAGTGAGCCGGATAGAAGTGATACTTGAGCGGATTTTGTGACCTCTGCCCTCCTTCATAGGTTGTCCCATTTTGAGCTGCAAATCAGAGGATTCTGAGAGAACATCCTTGCCTGGACCAAAGGGAATGTGTGCATGTGTGCCTGTGTGTGCGTGCACGCCAGTCCTACCTAGGGCTTGAACTCAGGGCTTGGGTGCTGTTCTTGAGTTTTGTTATTCAGGCTACTGCTCTACCACTTGAACCACAACTCTACTTCTAGCTTTTTTGGTGCTTACTCACAGACTTTCCTGCCCAGGCTGGCTTCAAACCATGGTCCTAGGATGATAGGCATTAGCCACAGGTGCCTAGCAATAAATAGCTTTTTGATGCTGTAGTGGTGGTGTGATTTGGTCTTAGTATGCAGCCCAAGCTGACCTTGAACTCATGATCTTACATTGAAATAAAATCCTAGAAGCCGGGCGCCGGTGGCTCATGCCTGTAATCCTAGCTACTCAGGAGGCGGAGATCTGAGGATCGCAGGTCAAAGCCAGCCCAGGCAGGAAAGTCCATGAGACTCTTATCTCCAATAAACCACTAGAAAACCGGAAGTGGCACAGATGCTCAAGTGGTAGAGTGCTAGCCTTAAGCTGAAGAGCTGAGGAACAGTGCCCCAGGCCCAGAGTTCAAGCCCCATGACCAACAAAAAAAAAGAAAGGAAGGAAGGAAGAAAATTCTAAACCAGAGTCATCCAATTAAATTAAATTAAATTTAGGGCTGGGAAGGTGGCTCAGTGGTAGAGCGCTTGCCTTGCATGCCTGAGGCCCTGGGTTCGATTCCTCAGCACCACATAAGCAAAAAGAAAAAAGCCGGAAGTGGCACTGTGGCTCAAGTGGTAGAGCGATAGCCTTGAGCTGAAGAGCTGAGGGACAGCGCCCAGGCCCAGAGTTCAGGTCCCACGACTGGACCCAACAAAAAAAAAAAAATTAAATTTAAATTTCAGTCCTTTGTATTAGCCATCTTTTCAGTGTTCAGTAGCCACAAGTGGCAACCCCACTGGACTGCAGTTACAGAGCATTATCATTCAGAGAAAGCTCTAGATTAATCAAAATGTCAATTATACTTCCCCAATACAAAGCAGGACTTACGAATAAGACCACCAAACATATGGAAGCCATATTTATATAATTTTGTGCCAGGGAAATAGCTTCCTAGCATGAAACATAGAAACCATAAAGGAAAAAAAATGGATAGACTATACACAGACATTTAAACTGTGTTTTAAAAAGTCAGCATAAAACATAAATAGTAATCTGGGAAAATATTTACAGTATAGAATGGTAAAAAAAATACTTAAATGCAAAACCTATTAACAAAAGACAAATAACCTCTATGGAATATTGAGCAAAAGACATAGTAAGCAATTTACATGCCTATGAAGGTGTACTGAATCTCACTAGCAATTGAGGAAATGTACATTGAAACAATGTAACTTTTGCCAACCACTTTAGCAGATATAAATGGGTATATTGACAGCCAGGGTGCACAGGAGAAAATGGATGCTTGGCATATCTCTAGGAGAGAAGCAATTGGCCTAGCATTTCAGAAGGATGACTTGCTGTCAATTTTCCAGAACTTATAAGGAGAGCAGCACTCCCGCTAGCTTTATCAGGAAATAACACACATCGGCTTAGTGCTACCTCTGCAGGAGATCCAGAAAAGACAAGGCTTTTCAGATGCCTCCTGAGCTAATGCTTCAGAAATGTCTACTAGAAATTCCTACTCACTCATCTACAATGAGGAAAGTCCACGAGAATGACGTATTCCTTTAGGCTCAGAACATCCCTTGTCATTACTATAGTTTTCTAAAAACAATACACCTTGACAACTTGTGGATGGAGACAAGAGGAAAAAACTGGGAGAGTGTGAGGAAAAGGGTTACATTATTCAAAAAAAGAAATGTACTCTTTACCTGACTTAGCTAACTGTAACCTAGCACCTTTATATTAACAATAAAAAATAAAATTTAAACTAAGAAAGATAAAAATAAAGCAAGTACAGTAAACAATGCATCTTGCAAACAAGTTCTGATAACTTAGTTAACTTTCTTTAGAAGGGAAGACCGTAAAGAATATGAGTATATTCAATATGACAAGACTGAAAGTGCTTTTATCTCAAAATCGGGCATTTCATTGAAGGAACTTTGCCAAACGTATTTTATGCCTAACACATCTAAATTATAAACGTATGTAAACATATATGGATCATATGCATATATGCACAAACAAATCAACTGAAATATGGTGTATATAAGGGAGAATTCCAATGATATAACTTCTTTGAACGACTAATGCACAGTTTAACAAAATGAGTACTAAAGCTGGGCTCTGGAGACTCATGCCTGTAATCCTAGCTGTACCGGAGTCTGAGATCTGAGGATCACAGTTCAAAGCCAGCCTGGGCAGGAAAGGCCATGAAACTCTTATCTCCAATAAACCACCAGAAAACCGCAAGAATGCTCACCATGAGCTGAAGAGCTGAGACAGCGCTCAGGCCCAGAAGTCAACCCCATGACTGACCAAAAAAAAAAGAGTACTGAGAAGCTGAAACTTGTGCTGTCACAAAGTGGGTCAAGGAGAGGGAGGGTAGACGAATGGAGAGAGGAAGGATGTATAAATGTGGTCATGATATCTAATGTAGATATGAAAATGAAAATAGGTTGGAAGAGATGGGGAGAATTAGAGATGGGGTGCATTGTACTCAAAAACTCACAAGTGGAAACCTTTGTACAACTAAAGATACTAAAGATTGAAGTTAAAAGAAAACCACTTTTATTTCTACGTTTACCCAAATGCTATGCTTCCTCACTTGACATAGTGAGCTGTCCCTCTGAGAAGCGGGTGATGGGTTTCTCCTACCTTTTGGCTCCGGTGCAGACCATTTTCCCAGAACTAAATATGAGGGCTGTTGTCCTAGGTTCTCGGATCCTCATTATCACAGCAGCAAACCTCTGTACACAGAAGCCCAGAGGAGAATTAGTCTCTGCTAACAGCTAACACTAGCCCAGCTGGAAAGCTGGGCTGCACATGAAAATAATCTTGAAGAAACTGAGATTGGATGGGAGAGAAGCTAATAAATGTCTGGGTGTGTCCCTCTCCCCCCAAAAGAATTTGATTTTAAAATGTACTTTAAAATCCAGGTGCAAAATAGTAATATTAATAGGTAAAATTCCAGGTCCTATCTATAAGGGTGTGCTATCGGTTTTCTCTCATTTATCTTCATGACAGTATTGAGTATTTTCCTTAGTGCACATGGAAACAAGTAGTTCTTTAACTCCCCATGTCACACAGGAAATGGCAGATAGGATGTAAAACCATAACTAATCAGACTTGCATTGACACATGTCCTTCTTTCCCAGAATCTTTGAAAAAACAGTCATGATAAGTACATCTGAGTCTGGCATGGTGGCGCAGAGTTGTAATCCCAGTTCTAGGGAGGCTGAGGCAGGAGGATTAAAATTTTGAGGCCAGCCTGGACCACACAGCCAGACTCTGTCTCAGAAACTAACAAAACTGCTTGGCACCAGTGGCTCACATCTATAATCCTAGCTACTCAGGAGGCCAAGATCTGAGGAACAGCCCCGGCAGAAAAGCCCCGATGAGACTCCAATTAATCTCCAATTAACTACTCAAAAACCAGAAATGGAGCCTAGCTCAAAGTGGTAGAGTGCTAGCCTTGAGCAAAAGAGCTCAGGGTCAGCTCCCAGGCCCTATGTTCAAGCCCCATGACTGACAAAACAACAACAAACACAAAACCCTAACAAAACCAAAACAAACCAAGAGCTAGGTATGATGTCTCACCCCTATAATTCCAGCTATTTGGGAGGATCAAAATTCAAGGCCAGCCCTGGCAAAAAGTAGCTTGAGAGACCTCTTTCCCCATCTCAACCAATAAAAGTTAGACCTTGTGACATATGAGAAAAATAAAAGGAAATTGGAGTCCAGACAGACCAGGTATAAATGTTAAGACTAAAATAACTGAAACAAAGCATGGCTCAAGTACCCATTAGGCAATCCAAACCAGAAAAGAGCATGTAGAATGAAGGATAGGTATGCTGACAATAGACGAAAAGGTACAAGGATGGTTGGTTACAGAGCAGATGTATGAGTCTGCTTTCCAGGTGGTGCTAATGCATAGGAGTTGAGACCTGCTGGCCCACAACATTGACACATCCTTAAATCACCTGCTCATCCCCCTGCTCCTACACAGATACCTTCCTTTAACTCTTCTCCCCCTAGGAAGCTGGGGATGAGTTCCATGCAAAGCTCCATCTTTTGGGCTGGGGCTACTTCTCCAGATCATAGACACTTTAACATATCAGGCAATTTCAGATGTGAAGTGTTAACTGAGAGTCTCCCTCAGCTAGCTCCAAGATTTTGTGCTTGTTAGGCAAAGAGTACTACATAGAACAGACCAAGGCCTCTTAAGTGATTTTCAGGTGTTTACTAAAAGCTAGCCCTCTCATCTGCTATACATTTTGTTAAATCCTTAAGCTAGCTTGAGTGCCAAGCCAGAATGTTTTTAGCTGTTAGGTTCAGACAGGTCCCCAAATTCTCTTTCACCACAAAACGGAGAGGAAAACAGTAGACAATGGGGAATACAAATGTGCTTAAGGTGCAGATGGTTCAATAATGTGATCACTTACTGTTGTAAGTTAAGAATTTTACCTTGTGGGCTGGGAAGGTGGCTCAGAGGTAGAGCGCTTGCCTTGCATGCATGAGGCCCTGGGTTCGACTCCTCAGCACCACATAAGAAAAAAGAAAAAAGCCAGAAGTGGTGCTGTGGCTCAAGTGGTAGAGCGCTAGCCTTGAGCTGAAGAGCTGAGGGACAGCGCCCAGGCCCAGAGTTTAGGCCCCACGCCGAACCTGCCCCCCCCAGAAAAAAAGAATTTTACCTTGTTACTTTATTTCTGCCCATACCATAGCCAGCAATATGTAACAGAAAAAGATACCATTCAGGTAATGTGAAATCTGGATGTCAGCAAGGACATCGTCACAACATCAAAAACAAATCCTTAAACTCTTCAGTAGTTGATCCTTACAAGGTCTCTGCTTTCTATTAGGGTGGATTTTCTCATTAGACTCCCTTGTACAGACCCTGGAAAATCATTCTGAGTTGATGAGGTTAACCAATCCAATTCTCTTAGGTAAACAGGGCATCAAAAACAGGTCACCTGCCTTTGGCAAGGCAAAGATTAGAGCTTACTAAACTTTGAGGACAGGAAATCCCAGAGTCTTACATTAGTAACTGAAAGTGTGGACTTTACACCTTCAACAATTTTGCTTTCTCAAATAAGAGAATCTATAAATGGAAAAACACACAAGTGTCAGCTTACTGCGACATTTAGAAAGAAATATTTCCATTAATAAAATAGAATTGCAAGAGAGCTAGTGTCCCAAATAGCTGAAATTAGATGGACGGAAATATATTTTTGAAAATCAAGGACAAGATCTTAATTTTAGGAACTGTTCCATTACTGCTTTATTCAAAACAGACAGTGAGATTATTTTATAACTTCTAAAGAGAAAGGGAGATAATCTTTGTGTGTGTGTATGGGGGGGGGGGGGAATGCCAATCGTGGGGCTTGAACTGGTCTGGGCATGTTCCTGAGCTTCTTTGTTCAGGGCTAGCTTCTACCAGTTGAGCCACAGTTCCACATCCAGCTTTTGGTGGTGAATTGGAGATAGGAGTCTCAGGGATTTTCCTGGCTGGGATGGCTTCCAGCTTTGATCCTTAGACCTCAGCCTCCTGAGTAGCTAGGATTACAGGTGTGAGCCACTAGTGCCCGGTAATCATCACCTTTTTGAGTTGCCAAAGATTTCCATTAAAAAAAAAATTTTTTTTAGAGCCAGGTGTCAAGTGGGTCAAATCTGTAATCCTGTGTACTCGGGAGTTTGGAATCTGAGGATATGTCTGAAGACAGCCCAGGAAAAAAAGTCCAAGATATTTCATTTCCAATTTACCAGCAAAATGTTGCATTGAAGGCATAGCTCAAGTGATAGAGCTCCAACATGAGCAGAAAAGCCTGGAAACAATGAAGTGAGAGTGAGACCCTCAGTTCTTGCCCTGCCACCAACAAAAAGAATTTTTTTTTCTTTTTTCTTTTTTGTTGGTCATAGGGTTTAAACTCTAGGCCTGGGCTCTGTCCCTCAGCTCTTCAGCTCAAGGCTAGAGCTCTACCACTTGAGCCACAGCGCCACTTCCGGTTTTCTGGTGGTTTATTGGAGGTAAGAGTCTCACAGACCGTCCTGCCCAGGCTAGCTCTGAACTGTAATCTACAGATCTTAGCCTCCAGAGTAGCTAGGATTACAGGCATGAGCCACCAACACTTGGCTCTTTTCTTTTTTTCTTAAGAAAAAAAAAGGTCACCCCCACAATCATATGAAAGAAATCAAATATATAGAGAAGGTAATGGTTGAAAGGAATACTGAGCAGTCTTACCTTTGGGTTATATTCTGCATTTTTGGCATGCAAAGCTATTTTCTTCAAATCCAATTTACAAGCCAGATTTACAGTGGAAACTATGTTCCTGAAGAAATTAAGTTCACTTTAGACATTATATCAGATATAAACCTAAAATGGCAAAATAACTTATTAACCTCCTCATTGCTAAAGCCACACCTTAGCAACTTCTTAGGGATAGAATTCTCTATATATTTCAATGTAAAATATGTAGTAACATGGTCCCTAGTAAGTATAAAATCCCAAAGTACTAAAACAGCATTTTCTAAATTTTCATTATATAAAATTAAGTCTCCAAACTTCTTTAAAAACAATGTCTCAAAGTGGAAACTGCGATGCCAAACCAATTTGCAAATTGAATTCAATTTCACATTTTTACATCTTCTGTGTTTATCCTATCCTAACCACAATTTTCAGTAACTGAAGTCTTTTGGCATAAATAATGCAATCCCTCAAGAATGTGTCTATTAATCTTATACTCCCTCTTTGGGAAACAAAAATAAAGTGTTTCGTGTTATAGATAACCAAACCATCCAAGGCCTGAATCTATTAAGAACTGATAAAGAACAATGAGCTCTGAAATTCGCTTCCCTAGACTAGTATCCTGGAACTGTCGTGTTTATGAATATATGACCTGTACCCAGAAGCATCATTGAATTTAAAAACAAACATGCTTACTGTAGTTGAGGTACAATTCCAGAACTTTCGGACACAGGGTTCATTGGAGCCATCGGAGATATGGAGGCCAGAAGAGAGGCATCATCAGAGTTTTGTTTCTCTGCAGAGGGTTGGGCCCAGTCAGCATCACTTGACAGACTGCTGCCATTTAAGCCTGGCCCAGCATCCTCTTCACTGGGCAATGGTAGCCCATTTTGTGGACTTGGGATTTTGCAATTTTCCTCAACTTCTTGTTTGCATTCCACAGTTGTCTGGTCTTTGTTTGCTTGGGTGAGTTCATCTGGTAGGAAGCTAAGATCCACAGATGAGAAATCACTGGATGGTTCTTTGGTTTCTCTAAGATGTGAGTTAAATTCATTTCCTGGATTGGGTGGATTGGCTCCATACACATCATAAGGTATGGCTGAGTTGAACAGAGGAGACATGGGCAGGGCAAGGTCATCCTAGACAAAACATGATGAAACAGAACATTACACCAAAGAGATATCACTATGGAGAGAAGACAACATGTGTTTCTACAGAGTATTTTTAAGACTATTAAAATGTTATAGTACACTTAACAGAAACAGAAAAATACACCTTAAAATGAAGGAAAAACATTTATCACCATTTTTTTTCTTACCAGGGTTAGAACCATAATAAGTTGCCATTTTCCAAATCCAAATTGGTACTAGAAGCAATTGAATGACTATTTTCTAAATGTGTACACTCTAAATTGTGTACAAAACTCAATGTACTAAAGTTGCAAACTTCAGAAGTCTTAATTTATATAAGTTCTTTTGGGGGTGAGGGACTGGCACTGGGGCTTCAACTCAAGGCCTTAAGTTCTCACTTGTCTTTTTGACTCAAGGGTAATGCTCTAACGGCTTGAGCCATGCCTCTAGTTCTGGTTATTTGGGACTCTTCTGCCTAGGCTAACTTCAAACTTTGATCCTCAGATCTCAGCCTCCTGAGTAGCTAGGATTATAGGGATACGCCACCAGTGCCCACCTTAAATAAGTTTTAAAATTTTAATTAAGTTTAGTTCTTACTCTTGGGTATGGAATCCAAGACTTTGTGCTTAGACAAATACCTTACTACTACTACCCTCAATCTTTCTACTTTCATTTTGGTTCTGAGATAATTACTTGCTAACTTTGCTTAGGCTGACCTTAAAATTGTGATCCTCTTGCCAACAGAATAGGTGTTTTTGTTTTTATTTTTATTGGTTGTCGGGCCTGAACTCTGGGCCTGGGTGCTGTCCCTCAGCTCTTCAGCTCAAAGCTAGTGCCACTTGAGCCACAGTGCCACTTCCAGCTTTTTTACTTATGTGATGCTGAGGAATCGAACCCAGGGCTTCATGTCTGCAAGGCAAGCACTCTATCACTGAGCCACCTGCCCAGCCCTAAATTCCTGTTTTAAAGAATATAATATGTGAAGCTTAAGATACAGCATCAAGTACTAATCAACACTCACTAAGACTTGGCATTATTTTTCTAATTAAAGGAGAGGTAAGAAAATATTCAAGTAACAAGAATTTACAATAGGAAAAAAGAGCCTCAGGGATTTAAATGCTAAAAATAGTTTAAATCAGTGTATTGTGTTTCCAATCCAAGGAAGGCTGCTCAATGATCATTTCCCAGCCACTGAGTGAATTAGCATGCACCTGAAGGAAGTAGCTGATGTTAAAAAAAAAAATCATGTGCTTTATTACCAATAAAATTCTATTACCTTGGTTCTCATAAGCTGCAGGCCTAAATCCTAGATGTTGAGCCCTGTGTATAGGATAATCTGGCCCATTAGATTGTGCCTCTGACAGCTGAGTGCACATACGGTGTTTCATGCTCTAGGTGGAAAAGCTACCTCAGCTAACAGTCTGACTGGACCCTACTGAACTGCTCTGTTATTACAAATCCAGCAGGTGGCAGGGGTGACCAGCTATTCAAAGAAAATACTTGGAGACATGAAGCTAGTCTCTTGAAATAGGACTTTTGACCTCTCTTTTGTTCAGAATGCTATCATTAGCCCACGTCTCTCCTGGGCCCACCCACAGAGTGGGAGGTGGGGACAATGGGCTCCAGTTCCTCACAGCTTTCCTTGCAATGTCTTGTCTTGCTGGAGAGGCTCTCATCAGCCAATTGGCACTAAGCAACAATCCCAGCCTTCCTTCCTTCTCCCATCATGGCATATTCTCTGGGGGATGAAATACTCACTCAATGGCACTAAACTTTAACAAGGACTTGAAGGAAATGGTGTGATGTTGAATAATGTTTGGTGGTGATGGAACCTCGCCAGCCCCCTTTTCCAGTTCACCTGCAGAACCTACTAGAAGTGAGTCTATGGCTTCCTTAGCCCCACAGCTGAAGAAATTGTTCCCCAGCTTTTATGGAACCATTACTGTGGAGTTCCCAGAACCTTTCCTGCCAGGGTTCACTGCTGGATGGAGTGCTGTGGAATGTCACCATCTCCACCTCAGTGCTGATTCTTGCCAACAAATAAATAAGTACATAAATAAAACTATTGTCTACTGGTTGAAAGCCAGACAAATCTGTGAAGACTTTATCTCTGATTACACAGCAAAAGGCTGGAATTAGAGATGTGGCTCAAGTGGTAGAGTAGGAGCAAGTAAAAGGGAAGTCTTGAGTTCAAGCCCCAGTACCCACACACAAAGCAAACAAAAATTAATCTTTTCACCAACATAAACTTCTCTTTGACTTCAAGATCTCTTCCTCTCTTTTCTGTAAGACTTAACTATAATTTTTTTTAAATCTTAAGAATGGAAAGGATGGTATTGATCAGGGCAGATTGTACTTATAAATTGACAGGTTGAATTGGAACTCCTTTGTAGAACACATTTTAAGATGGATTGCACAAGGAAAAAATTCTTAAGAAGGAGCAAAGTGTCTCATATACTAGGAAGGCTGAGGCAGGAAGATGGCTTGAGTCTAGGTTAGGGACTAGCCACTGCCATAAACACTACAAGAGAAAAAAAAATTCCTAACCAATGAAAGACACCAAGGGTGTAACTGAGGTTTGTACGGGGCCTTGTACTGGCCCAGACAGGCCTCTGCCCCTTGAGCCACATCCCCAGCCCTTTTGGTGTTCCTTGTGTTTAGAATAGAGTATCGCATTTGTGCCCTGGCTGAACTGGACTTTGATCCTCTCAATCTCAGCCTCCAGAGTAGCTAGGGTAACAGGAATAAGCCATTCCCGCTCAGCTCCAATTCACATTTGTTCATATGAACACCACAATCCCCAACTCTTCCAGGTGACATGCTCAAACCTGTCCTTGTCCGTCAGAGGCGGACATCCCTTCAATGTCCAACACCAGGGCTACTTGGAATAGGAGACAACTTTGCCCCCCACAAAGCAGCAACTGTAAGAGAGAACGAAGGCCAAGCCGTATGGCCCACAGGCCTTGTGGCTCAGCCACAGGCCCAGGCCCCCGATGCTAGGAGGTCTTGCGGCCCAGCCACAGGCCCAGGCCCCTGATGCTAGGACAGCAGCACAGGTTCCAGGCTCACCTGGACAGCGGCGCAGCGGTCCAGGTAGAACTCGAGGTACGCCTCCTCCTCCATGGGTGGAGGTTCTTCTGTCGGGGAGCTGGGGGAGCCAGGTACTACAGAGCCTTTTTATCAGCCCAGCTGCATGTGAGGTGGGTGGGGCAGAATCCACGCCCCCAGACCCGGGGATTGAAGGGCTGCAGAGCTGGGCCCAGGGCAGGGGAGCCACCCAGTGCAATCACCACAGTGCCCACACCTGAGCAGCACCTAGGCCTGCAAAGGCCCTTCTCTTCAGTGCTTGCAGATGCTGACTTTGCCTCCAGAAGAAGCCCCGCGTGCAAGTGGTATAAAGTGAGTGCAGTGGACAGTGAGGAAAAATCGAAGATTCTTTGTCTTTTGCCTAGGAAAGCCGCAGAATTTGAGGCACCTAAGCTAATCAGGTTGAAGGTGTGTGTGTGTGTGTGTGTGTGTGAGAGAGAGAGAGAGAGAGAGAGAGAGAGAATCCTGATAACCCAGGGCCTAGCCACTGTCCTGCAGCTTTTTGGCTCAAGGCTGACACTCTATCGCTTGCTTGAACCCCTGTTCCACTTGCAGCTTTTTTTGGTGGTTAATTGGAAATAAGCATCTCATAGATTTTCCTGAGATCCTCAGATCTCAGCCTCCTGGATAGCTAGGATTATAGGCATGAGCCACCAGCAACCAACAGGTGTAGTATTTTTTATCATTATTTTTCACCTTCAAACCTGGGAATTTTTTTTTGTTAATCACAGAAAAATTACTTAAGGCCACACCCAGAATGACCTGTGTTGCTCTGCATTTATGATTCAGGCCACACAAGAAAGTAACACAAACCCAAATAGTCAGAGAGGGTTTCTCTTGCTTGAAATAATCATTTCAATTTTTAGTGCCTCAGCTTTTGTAAAAACTTAATGGTCTATAAATATAATTGACACTTGGAGTAAGAGATTTCAAAATGTTCATGGAGACATCCACATAAGATACATCTTTCCTACTTGACTATTGTTTCTAAGAACAGAAATGCTGGTTATTCATCTTTGCATCTCTACCATGCCCATCCTTTCAGTAACACTTGGTGGATGAAACTGCCCTCAGAAAGGAACATGGGAGAAACACTATAGTAGAGAGACATGCTCTAAGAATCAGATCACAAAAGAAATCTCATTTCTAATCAAGAAAGAAGCTATAAGTGGTGACTCACACCTACAATCTGAGGGAGTTAGCATAAATTGGGAGGACTGTGGTCCAAAGAAATCCAAGCAAAAAATTTGTGATACCCTCATCTTACCAGTAAATATCAGGGCAAGGTCGTGGCCCTTCGTCCCAGCTATACAGAGACACAAATAGGAAGATTAAAGTTCAAGCTAGGGGAGAGAGAGAGAGAGAGAGAGAGAGAGAGAGAGAGAGAGAGAGAGAGAGAGAGAGAGAGAGAGAGAGAGCTTACTTGAAAAATAACAAAAGCAAAAAGGGCATAGTTCAAGTAGTATAGTGTTTTGAAAGCACCAGGTCCTGAGTTCAAACTCAGTACTGCTCTACTCCCTCCCAAAAGAATAAAAAGAAACGTTTTGATAAAGCTAGAATTTTATATAATAATATGTAATTTCATGATTAAAATGAATTAAGATATCCTATGAAAAAAATGTTTAGCACAGCCCCTGCCTAGTAGCTTCATAACAATTGGATCTTAATTATGCCATTAGACTGATGTGAACTGAATTGTGCTCCCCCTAAAAATCAGAGGTCAAAACCCTAATCCATCATGACTGGTATTGTAAGAAGAGAAGGCTTGGACATCCAGAGACATTGAGATTGTGCATATGTAGCACTAAAGGATGTGGAAGTGCTCAACAAGAAGGCAGTTAAGGAGAGAACCCTCAGAAGATATCAACCCTGTTGACATCTGGATTCTGTACATTCAACCTCCAGAACTGTGAATCAAGATGTCATTATTGTTTAAGTCACCCAGTGTGGTATTTTCTCATGGCAGTCTAAGCTGACTGAATCAGATTTAAAATGTGTCTCATGACCCATGGTAGGCACAATACTGAAAGAGCCCACAAATCCCCCACCCTGCTATGTACACATCTTCTCCCAGCGATTTAAACACTAACCTAGGAGGTCCTGCGATTTTTTTGCAGACGTAATTAAGGCTCAGTTGTTGTTAGAAAAAGAGATTATCCTGGTGAAGCCTGACCTAATCCACGGAGCCCTAAGGAAATGGCTGTTTGGGAGGGAGATTTCAAGCAGGAAGTAGATTTGTCAAGAGAAAGATTCTTCACTGCTGGCTTTGGAAATGGGTGGAGCGTGTGAGCAATCTCTAGGAACTGGGAGTGAACCACATTTGACTGCTAGCAAGGGAAGACAGATTTCAATCCTACAGTGACAAGAAACTAAATTTAAATTATGAAGAAACTTTGGAAATGGATTCTTCCCAGAGCTTCCAGAAAGATCAATCTGTGGGCATGTTTTGTTGCTGAGGTTGTCATTTGGCTCATGGCAATTGTACAAAATACTGGGCTTCACTGTGACATTTTCAAACATAAAAAGTTTATGCTCTGATCATATTTAGCCCACATTCCCACACTTATACCCTTCTCTTTGTTCTTCTTCCTTTTCTTTGTAATGTCTTTTTTTCATATCGTCCTCTTTTTCCAGATTCCACATATAGAGCAAATATGTGGTTTATTTTGCTTAACCTGATGGCCTCCAGTTTCATTTCCCTGCATATGACAGGATTTTATTCTTCTTTATAGCTGAATAACACTCGATTGGGTATTTATACCACATTTGTTTTTCCATTTGTTTCTTGATGGACACCAAGAATGATTCCAAACTTGCCTATCATAAATAGTGCCACAATAAATGCGGGTATGTAGGCATCTTTATTGTATGCTGCTTTTTGTTTCACCAGCACTGTTTTGTTTTGCTTTGAGTTAGTGGTGTTGGGTTTTGAACTGAGGGCTTTGTGCTTGCTAGAAAGGTGCTCCACTGCTTAAGCTATTCCTCCATCCCTTTTTGCTCTGGTTAGTTTTGAAATTTGCCTGGATTTCAATTCTCCCATTTATACTCTCCCTAAGGCCCTATATAGCAAGATGATAACAATGTCCTATCATGCCTATTATTTTCTGTTGAGATAGAATCTCTCAGTATTTGTGTATGTGTGTGTGTGTGTGTGTGTGTGTGTGTGTGTGTGTGTGTGTGCCCAGGCTAGTCTGTCAGGAATCTCAGTTTTCCCAATTTGTGTTTCCAAGTAACTAATGTTACAGGTATAAACTACTGGCATCTGGAGGTACTGGGATTTTGAACTCTTAGCCTGAAGCTTGCTAGGCATCTAAACTACCAGTTGAACCATGCCTCTAGCCATGTATGGCTCTTTTTTTTTTTCCAGACCTGGGGCTTGAACTCAGGGCCTAGTAGCTGTCCCTGAGCTTCCTTGGCTCAAGGCTAGTGCTCTACCACTTGAGCCACAGTGCCACTTCCAGCCTTTTCTGTATATGTGGTGATGAGGAATCAAACCTAGGGCTTCATCCATGGGAGGCAAGCATTCTGCCACTAAGCCACATCCCAGCCCCCATGTATACTTCTTTTGACACCTTTGGATATGTGCCTTTGGATATGGTAGCTCTAGTTTTAGTCGTTTTCTGGGAGAAGGGTCCGTTGTACTGATTTCCGTAGTGGCTGCACTAATTTGTATTACTGCCAACTGTATATATGCTCCACTTCCATCCCACCCTCATCAGTATTTACTGTTGCTTGTTTTATTGATGTTTTAACCTTCTGACTGGGTGAGATGAAACTTCAATGTCATTTTGAATTGCATGCCACTAATCTGATGGCTAAAGATGTTGAACACTGTTTCATGCAATTAGAAAGGCCAATCTTTGATTTTTAGCTTTGTAAGGCCCTTGGTCTATGAACTTGGTGACCCTATCCCAGACTTTGGGCCTAGACAACCATGAGCTTACCCATTGGTGGTGCTTTAAGCTGCTAAATGTGTGGTAATTTGTTGTTCAGCAATAGCAAAAGAATAAGTAGAGACAGATTTGCAGCGATCTGTCATGCAAACAACCAAGCAAAGGAATAGATGTTAACTATAAGTAACTCTGAGTAAAAACTTGGCACACTGGTGTTTCTCCTACTATTTCCATTTTTATAACTGTAAGCTTAAAATTATTCCCAAGCAAAAAGTTTCTTTGTGGGTGTTTTCTGTTATTTTTGTGTGTGTTGATCCAAAAACCTTATTCTTTTCTACGTATTCAAAGTTAATATGGTTTAGTTGAACAATAGCCAATAGCTAGCTTTTTTTTTTTCCGACTGTGTCCCAAGCACTATCCTAAGTGCTTCTCATATAGTAACTCATTTAAGTGTCATGACAGACCTAGGAGGTATGTTTCCCTCCCTCCTCCACCTGCAGAATCCCAGAATCCCTATGCCTGCTAAGCAAGCATTCTACCACTAAACAACACCCTGAGCCAGTAAATAGGCTTGCTTTTACCCTCATGGTTGAATGTGCTGAGCTTCAGAGAGATTAAATGACTTGTCCTAGGTGATGGGGCTCCTATTCAAAATATCTGCTTCTGAGACATGCTGTGTAGAGTTCCTCATCCAATGGCACATATGCCATTTCATACTCCGACTATGAACCAAGCACCACTGTCTCACATCATTAATCCTAGCTACTCAGGAGGCTGAGATTTGAGGATTGCAGTATAAAGCCAGCACAGGCAGGAAAATTTCCTTAGACACTTATCCCCAAATCAAAACATCAACAAAAAGATCAGTCCCAGAAGTAGAGATGTAGCTCAAGTGGCAGAGCCCAAGCCTTGAATGGAAAAAACTAAAAGTGGCTCCTAGGCCCTGTGTTTAAGCCTTAGTACTGGAACAAAATTAAAAAAAATCCAGAATGTGCTTGTTACCAGTTTTGATCAGGAATTTATAATATTTCCTATTTTGGCAAAAAGAAGAAAAAGACAATTTAAAAAGCATCCAAAAATTTTCCATTATTCCATCTTAAAATAATATTGTAAAGATAAAATGAGTGAATGTAAATTTTTGCC